GAGATCCAGCTGCAGGTTTGGGGACAGAGAGTCTTTTATTGATCTCTCCTAACAGTCTGGAAAGGAAAAAACCCAAATTGTTCCTTTAATGTTGAAGTTCGTGAACTAAGGAGTGATACAAACATCCCAGAGGGCAGGGAAATCACCCGATGGAATTCAAGAGGTTAACAGCAAAGTCATTTTAAGCAGAAAAGGAAGCTGCTTCATAAGCAGTGAGGAGGGGAAAAAAAAAATAAAATAAAGGGATTGTCACCTTCGGCTCCTATCATACTATTGACGGTGAAATAGATGCCAGTGGTTCATGCCTGTAATTTGTCCTTGCTCTTTCAAATATCGGTTCCAAAAGCAAGGAAAAAAAACCAAAACCAAAACCAAAACACAAACAACAAAAAACCTGATGGTGTTTATGTACAGCTCTGCATACCAGGGGCCTGATCCTGTAAAAAATGCCAGGATCTTTCCCTCTCAGTTGACTTCCTGGCGTGTGGGAGGCACCTGCTCTGTGTCCCTGCTCCCTGGGAAGGAACAGCACCTTATCGCCAAGGAGAGGAGCGAGCACTGCCTGCAAAGGACATGGCACCCCTGCAAGATAAGGCTGTGGCACCAGAGGAGTTAAGCAGCACACAGTTTTCCCTGTGTCCTGTACAGCCAGAAAAATCCCAATCCCAGGCTTAAAGATCCGGCAGAAAATTCCTCATCGTTTTCCACTCCTTTGCTTCAGGAGAAGCTGCAGGATCTCACCCTCGTCCTGCAGTGCTCCATTCCCACAGGTTATGGGTTCTCTAGACATTCACAGATCCAGCCATTTCAAAGCCAGAACTCATCACAGGGATTATGCACCTGATAATCCCATGCAGTAACTTCTCCTTCAGCTCTGCGAGTGGGATTTGTGGCAGAATATACTTTTGAAAGTTTCAACCCCTTTTACCCTTAAGACACAACCCCAAACGAATCAGAAGGGATTGATTAAAGTTGCAGTTGACAAGTCCACTCTGTTGTTTGCCTAAATGTGTCACCTACCACCTCTACCATCCTAAATCTCCCTGGATTTTCTCATTCCTGTCAAACCTGGAAGTGTCTTTGGGCTAAGTGTGATGAATTTACCAGGTCTTCCAGCCTAAAATTTGAGTCCCAGGTGCATGATCATTTTTGTAGCTCTTTTTTGACTCCCTTCCCATCTTGCCTAATAAAGAAATGTGAGTGGATTTGCGCACTCCTTGGACAAACACAGTTTTTCCAATTATTGCTCTGAAGAATTTTAAGCAAAGGAATGAGAAAAGCTAAAGAAGAAACTGCACAAAGCAGAAAGGAGCGAGCAATTCAAAATATGTCAATAGATCAACCAGAATTCATTAGTTAATGCTGTTAACTGTTGTGCCTGCATAAAATCTCCCTCCAAAATATGGTTTTATTTCACCTGCTCACTGCTTGTGTTCTCTAAAGTGGTTGTTAATTATAAAGCTGCCATCACACAGTTATTTAGGGTTGAAAACCACCTGTACAATTAAAGCACTCCTTGAAGATGCATGGGTGATGAGCAGCAGATCCTGTGGCATCCAAATCATTTTCTAGTCTTTCATTCAATACCAGAGGAAATAAAAGGTTATTTTTATCATGTGGTTCCTGTTGAATGCATGGCATGGAATTATGCAATTTACCTTTGAACAGCTAAAAATCAGATATATTAAAAAAACAAGAAACAAACTACCAGCCCAGACTGTTTCCAGTGATCGATGCTGGAATAATTTTATTTCAAATCTATTGCACATTTTAATATTCACGATGTTTGTTTGCTTTCGGGGCTTTCCTCAGCTCGGACGGTGGAAACACGTTCATCTGTTTCTTTCTTGGCTTCCAGTCGGTTTCACTTTCAGATTCTCATGTTTCACACTCCAAGCCTTCAGGTTTCAAGCACTGCAAGGGATACTCATTTCATTTAAACAAACAAAAAAACCTGCGGCCGCCGGGAGCACACACACACACACACACACACACACACACACAACGTGTCTGTCGGTCTGCAAAGCTTGAGCCCATCCTGAACTCTGAAGCATCTTTACGATGGTTCTCTGGGCTTTGCAGAGAGAAGAAATTAAATAAATAGGAGCGATGACGAAATAAGGATCTATTAAAAAAAAACCAACAAACAAATAAAACAAACAAAAAACTGAGTTTTGTAGCCCTCTCAGACTGCCTCCAATAAAACATCATTACATATCGCCGATTGTGTGATTAATGTCGGATTAATGATGAGGGGCCGCGACACCGGACTGGATGCCCTGAAGGAGTGTCCCAAGCCCTAAATAGTGACGGCGGCATTGCCACCCGGCGGCTGCGGTGGGGTTTGGGAGCAGGACAGCCCCTTTCCCGCGGGGGTGGGAAGGCGGTGGGGCTGTCCCGGGAGCGCGGATTTCCCGGGAGTGCGGTTCTCCCGCGGGAGCGCCCGTGCGGGGCTGCGCACACCCCGGGGATGCTTCATTTAATCGTTTATGCTTTTAAATGGTTGAAGCAGCTCAGCAAAAGAAGGGCAGCGAATGCAAAGAGGGGGTTTTATTTGTTGTTTTTAAATATTTTTTTTTGCTTTATTTTTTGTTTGTTTGGGGTTGAGTTTTTTGGGGTTTTGTTGTTGTTGTTTTTTTCCGGAGGAAGGGTGGTATTTAACATATGGCACTCGGTAATCTCTACACGGAGGCTGTTAAAACATCTGCTGCCTCCCAACGCGTGCGGCAGCGCCCGTGGGCACGGGGGCAAGGCGAAGGGGGCATCTCAGGCACAGCCGCGCTTCCCAGGGCCGGTGTTTCCCAGCTGGAAACGGGCACCGCGCATATAAAAGCCGTCCCACTGGGGGAAAGAGTTTGTCTTTTCTTTTTCTTTTTTTTTTTTTTTCCCCGCAGATCAACGGCACCTCCTCGTGCGGAGCTGGCATGCTTCCACTTATTGATATAGGGAGGGTGTTTTTTGTGTCCTAAGCGGACACCCTCGTCGCGCACACACACAGAGCAAGGTGGCCCTTGGCTGCTCCCCCGGCTGCCGCCCCATCGCGGGGTGCGGGGGTGCCCCCGCGTCCCTTCCCCGCCATGCCCCAGACATCACCCCACTTCGGAAAGTCGGTGCCGGACAATTAGGACACCCGTTGTCCTTCCCCCCCCCACTCTGCACCGAAACCCGCATAAATCACAATCGCTGCATTGTCGGGCTACAAAGCCAGACGGGAGCGCTTATGAATTTAAGTTTGGAGAAGGAAAACGTGCGCTGACACAACACGCTCCCTGTTCGCAGGAGTAGCCAGGAAGGGGAAATGAATGGTGGAAGTTAAAGAGCCTTTCATTGCGGAGCGCGGCGGGTCCCCGCTCACCGCCCTCGACGGACGGCAGGGGGGTGCCCCCTCCGCGCTCCCCTTCCTTCGCCCTCCCGAAAACGCGAGCCTTGCCAGGCAAAGCTCAGCCCGATTCCGCCCCCGGTAAGCCCGCGGCTCGGGGGGTGCGGCTGCGAGGGGCCACACACGGTGCCCGGCGGCTCCCGGCCTTTCGCGGACGGGACGAGGGGGCGACGGGGATGATTTTGCGGGAAGATGCTGCTACCTGGCCCGTCCCGGCTGTATCGGGGGTTGGGGGCGGCGGGAGGGGGGCGGACCACACTCCCGCTGGGCTTTTTTGGTGGCCAAGGAGCGCCTTGCTCCTACGGGCGTCCCAGCCAGTTTGTGCCAAGGAAGCCTCGCCGCTCGACTCCGACGGGAGCCGGTAAAGCCGGTCCCACCCCTCCCATCCTCTTGGATGCGGAGGGACAAGGGCTGGCGTGGGAGGGGGCAAGTGTGCCCACTCGCGGGCATCCACGGCCGCTCGCCCCGTTTGCCCCCCGGTGCGGCTGCCGAGACCGGGACGCGCATCCAGGTGAGGGGGCTGCCGCTCGTCCCCATCCCTCCGGAGCTTGCCACCGACACCAGAGCATCACGCCTCCTTAAAATATAATCTGCCCGGTAACAATCAGCGCGCAGCGGCGAGAGCCCCAGAGCCATTGGCTATGCAAATAGCGGGAGGGGAAGCGGCGCCCCGAACTCCCCCCCCTCGCACTTTTAAGGCGGTATTTCTGGGTCTGCCTCCCCCCTTCCAGCTCACCCAGCCCACCCTCCGTGCCGCCCAGGGGCGGGGGGCCGCGGGGCGGCCGCTGCGGGGTCCCCTCGCCCCGCACGCCCCGGCAGCGCCTCTTCCCCTTCGGGAGCCTCCGCTCCGGGGCGGCCGCTGGAGACTCGGCGGAGCTTGACACATTTTGCAGCTCCGACCGAGTGCGAGCAGGGTGGAAGTCACCCGGTGCGGGACATAACCCCTCTCACCTCCCCCTCCGCTCCCCCAGCCAACCTTTCTCCCTCCTCCCTCCTCCGCTGGGTTTCCTAGAAAGTTACATCAGTGTGGCCATGCAGCGCTGAGGCGGCTCGCGTGCTCGAAACGCGCCCGTGTGCCGCAGGAAGCGGAGCGGTGGTGGTTAGATTTCGCCCCCAAAGGCGCCGCGGAACCCCCACCCCTCTAAGAGTGTTTTTGTTTGTATTTTTTTTGTTTTGTTTTGGGGTTTTGGTTTGGGGGTTTTTGTTTGGCTGGTTGGTTTTTTTTTTTGGGTTCTGTCCCCCCCTCCGGCTGCAGATTAAGGAGGTGTCGGAGCGGGCAGGGCGAGACGGGCACCCTGATATGCCAGGACGCTTCAGTACTTTGCCCCCACCATGCCGCTGGGTACCCACGGGAGCCCCACAGTTCCTCGCCATGAGAGGGAAATAGATTGGGACGGGCTCCCGCAGAAGGAAAAGTGTGGAGCCCATTTAATTTGGTTGCTGGAAGGAAGAAAAAGAGAAGCTGTCATTCGTGTGTGTGTGTGTCCCTATACGAGGGCCTCCTGGTTCCTTGTTAGCTTATGGAGAGGGGAAAAAAAAAAAAAAAAAAAAGCGTTTGATGTTACGTCTGACCAGCTGCTGTTCTCCATAATAACAAGAGAGAGAGAACTGCCTGCCCTGCCGAGTTGCGTCACTTCGCCTCAACTTTAGGCTAGAAATCAAGAGAGGGAGAGACAAGTTTCAAGGGAGGCAGGAGCGAGCTGGAAAGCCCTGTCTCCTCCCACCCACCTACCCTGTCTTCCTCCCACCCACCTACCCCTCCTCCTTTACCCCTCTCCTTTCCCCACCCCTTCCCCCCCCTCCAAAAAAGAAAAAAAAAAAAAGGAGAAAAAAAAGAAAAAAGAAAAAAAAAAAACCTTTCCCATCAGAGAAAGAGGGAGATCTCTTTGGAAACATGGAGCTGCTGTGCTGCGAGGTGGATCCCATGAGGAGAGCTCTGCCCGACCCGAACTTGCTCTACGATGACCGCGTTTTGCACAACTTACTAACCATAGAGGAGAGGTATCTGCCCCAGTGCTCCTACTTCAAGTGCGTCCAGAAGGACATCCAGCCCTTCATGAGGAGGATGGTGGCCACTTGGATGCTGGAGGTTTGTACACCCTGGGAGCGATGGAGGGGGGGGGGGGAGGCAGAGCGGCCCCGTCCCCTCTCCCCCTGCAGCCCCCTCGCCCCTCCGCTCGCCGTGGGGTTCCTTCTCCTTCCTTCCCCCCCGCTTCCTGAGCTCCCCCGGTGCGGGAAGGGGCGCGGGGGGCACCGGCAGCCCGCGGGGGAAGTCGCCCCTTCCGGGGGGCTCCGTGGAGCGGGTGCAGGAGAGGGGAGGAAACGCGGCGAGCTGGGGATGGGGGGGGGGTGGAGGTGGCGGTGGGTGAGTTGGAAAAGTCATTTGCAATTAAAAAGCAAAGCCGCCTCCGGGAGCGCTTGAGTTCGAGGCATTCCTGGGAAAAGCGAGCTGCGCCCGGGGCAGGGCGAGGGTCGGGGGGTCCCCCCCGCGCTTTGCCCGGCGAGGGTTCGGTGCCCACGTATGCACTGGGGAGGACGTGCCTGCTCCTCGCCATGTTGCACTGCATGCGGGCTCCGCTCGCCGCCGCCGAGCCCGGCTTCCCCCCCTTTCCTCCCCCAGGGGGTCGGGAATGCCCCCCCGGGCCCCGCGGAGCGGGACCCCCGTGCTGTCGGGGTCCCGTCGGGCGGGCGCCGAGCCCCCCGCTCGCCCCGATGCTGCCGCCGGGCCCGGAGCCCCGCAGCCCCGCCACCCATCCTTTGCCCCATGGCATCTCCTTCGGGGGGCACCTTTCCCCGTCCAGACCCCCCGGGTCGTAAAGACCAGGCTCCCCGCTTGGTTTTCGTGTGAGATTTGTCGCTTTTCTCCGCGGCGCCGATTTTTGGTGAATTTTTGAAAGAATTTCGCCCCTCGCTCCCTGCGCTAAAAGGATCCAGGCGGCTCGGGCTCTCCCCACCCCACCTCGCCCTCGCTGTGTCTCTCCCGTCCTTTCCCCCCCACCGCGGGATCGGGGGCGCAGGGCCGGGGGACACCCCGCGGGGGAATTTTTGCAATTGTCGGAAACGATAGGGGAACGTCCCGGGATGCCGCCGGCCCCAAAACCGGGACCCCTGGGGATGTTTTGATATTTTTTATCGATTTTTTGAAAAGATGACGAAATAAAAAAAGGAAAAAATTGGGTCGCAAAAAAAAAAAAAAAAAAAAAAAAAAAAAAAAAAAGTCGGAGGCTGCTCGCTTGCTGCTGGATGGGGCTTTTCGGCTCTCCCACACAGTGTCTTGAATTCATTTCTTACTGAATGAACTAAAGGAATGTGAAAGCCGATTGACAGCCTTCCCAGCCTCTCCAGAGATCTCCCCCTCCCCCAAAATTTAGCTCCCCGGGAAACAAAAATAGCAGGAGGCAAAGCAAGGGAAGGCAGTGGGCTTGTTTCGTGGGTTCACTCATTTATTTATTTTTTTCCTTCTTGTCTCTTTTCTCTCTTCCGACCCCTTCTATGCCCCCCCCCCCTCCACCCCCCCCTGCTCCGACCCCATCCATCCCTCCCCGCTCTCCTCGCCTGCAGGTCTGCGAAGAGCAGAAGTGCGAAGAAGAAGTTTTCCCTCTGGCCATGAATTACTTGGACAGATTCTTAGCTGTGGTGCCCACTCGGAAGTGCCATCTGCAGCTGCTGGGGGCAGTGTGCATGTTCCTGGCCTCCAAGCTGAAAGAGACAATCCCCCTCACAGCCGAGAAGCTGTGCATATACACGGACAATTCCATCAAACCCCAAGAGCTGCTGGTAAGCAGCCCCCTTGCCCCTCTTCTTCTTCAGCAGCGCCGGCGTCGCTTCCCTGCCCTTGGGCTGGCACCCATCGCTTTTTGCCACCCACCCCCTTCCTTT